CCCCAAAACCCCAAAACCCCAAAACCCCAAAACCCCTGAAAATCAAAGATTATTGGCTGGTTTAATTAAAATGTTCGGGGCAAAAAATCTTGAAATAAAATATACAATCTAAGAGTCATAGAATCTTATATATGCAAGAAAATAAAGAGGATGACTAGAGGAATACTTTAGAAGCTGAAGTAAGTGAAACTCTCAGATTTATTGTCGTAGGTCACCTCTACTGTCATATTATTGCCGTCTTTGTTGACTAGTTTGCAACAAGTGTATGGAGGGATCAAAGTTTCTTTTTCATTCGAGAACACCTGGAAGCCATATTCACGAATCATTCCTGCATTATAGCATCCTTTAGGAATTTTGTATTCAACTCAAGTGTAATTTTCATCTGTAGAGGATGCCTTGCAAGCAAAACTATCTGCGATATTATTTTCATCTGAAGTGCATTGAAAATTCATTACTCTAAATTTTTGGCCAACTTCAATGTTTTTAAATATTTTAGCTGGGACTCCTCTGTAAGTTGTTCTATCTTCAGTATTATTCTTTGTGGCTATTGACACGATAAAATAGTTTACCATTCTGATAAACTTGATTGTGTGCTTTATCACGGTCTTATAGTCATGCTTGTACTTCATTTTAAAATCTTTCTCAATAAATTTTTTATCATTATAATCACAGTGAAATGTTGCATAGCCATCAAGCATGAGAGCATAATTAATTGGTTGTGTAACAGAGGTCCATCTAGTCCATATATGCATGATTGCCTTGATAGGATCATTTTTATTATCTTCAGCAAATTTTCTGATAGATTCATGAGTATTATGATGTAATACTTTGAATAAATCTTTAATAACCTCAGACAACTCGCTAATTCTTGGAGTTTTCATGTATAGCTTCATGAAATAGGTTTGTTCAAATAACTCTTCAAATCCTTCTTCGAAAACTAAAACAGATTGCTCACTTATTATTTTATCTCTCAATTTCTCAAGCTCATCCCAACTGAGATGCTTATTTATTGCTGCTTTTTCTGGATCATTGGCTTCTCCTTTAGAAATTTTCATCTATTCCTTTCTTCAGATTGGACATCATTTTCTTGCCCAATTCTTCATTTTCTTTTGAATACGCTGACTTTTCCAGTTTGCTTTCAAACATGGCTAAAAAGTTTTCATTCACAATATTTTTATTGAGAATGTATTCTTTACCTAATGCACTGTAAATTCCTTTTATAGCACCAGCAGCTTCTTCAGAAATAGGTGGAGCTTCTTTATCTTCTTCTTTACAATTAATACCTAATTTGAGTCCAAGTTTAAAAAGGTCTCGAATAGAGCCATGAGACATAACTACAGCTTCTTCTACACCTCCGTACCATCCATTCACAGCAAATTCTATGCCAGTTGCTACCGGATTCTTCAATTCGCTTACTCCTGTGATAAATCCCAGATTATATCCTATTATAGATCCGATAGGTGCCAAAAGAGCTCCTGTGCATAGCTGGGTAATTCCTTGAAACACTTTCTTTCCCCAACCTTGTTTTACTGCGATTTCAGCCGATGCTTTCCATTCTCTTTTTTGAGTTTCCATTATAATTATCAATAATAACTAAAGCGTAAAACTCAATAAGTATGCCTAAAAAAGGGGTTTTGGGGTTTTGGGGTTTTGGGGTTTTGGGG